TTTGGTCTCTTTTTTCGATGGATACATAATAGTTGTAGATACCTTTTTGAAGTAAAATTTATATATTACGGCTGGGTCCCAAGCTCACACACACACATTTTATTGTTCAGATTTTATGTTAAGGTTATAGAAAGTTAATATTAGTAGGTAACGTGGGAATCCAGTCAAATATTTAGAATAGGAATAATATAAAATCGTACAGAAAAGGAGGTCGTTGATATGTAAGAGGATCAGTGCCGGAGCGAAGACCGATCCCTGGGGAACACCCGCGCTGACGTGGGATGAGGAGGAGAACCCATGATTTACGACGGATATCTTGCGGCCAGAGAGAAAGTCAGCGACCCATCTGCAAAGCTTCTCTGGGAGGCCACAAAATGGAACTTTGCATAAGAGCACTGCTGATCGAACGCTTTCGTGATATCAAGAATCTCGTGGCAGTAACGTAGAAACGACGTTTTAGGTTCAAAATTAAAGTAGATAAGACTCAGCTTGACCTTTTCAGTACCCAATCATTTCTTTTTCAATGTTATACAATCCCGTTAATAACCCAGATTCGGATTGAGCACTCAAACAAACAAGTAATGGACTGTAATAAATCAAAATTACCTCGCAACTGTCCAGGTAAAAGCCCAACGATGCACAGGAGCATTCACCATTTTCGACAATTGTCTGGAACACTAGAACTGTATGGAACCTAAGCTCTCTCTGATTCTCTCTGATTACATACTTTAACATTTTGAAGACAAACAAATTACAGACTTGCTGTGATTTAGTTGTATCAGCGGTATTCAGAACCTTGTAGGCTTGCTACATATGATACGAAAAGCACAAATAATGTATACTTTATCTGAAGTCACTTGAAATAGCATAAAAACCTTTGGTCGGCGCGTCCTTTGTAATTTCATGACGTATCATAAGCGTGCGGTCATTTATTTAGAACGATAATAATAATGTTTTTATATCACAATAAATGGATTTTACTATCTTCTTATTTTTTTGATTTGGGATAAATAATAGTAAAGTTTAATTTATGTTGACTGAAAGTTAAGAAATGGAAAAATTACAGAATTCCAACGTTTGACATAGGCAAATATTTACATAGCAGGTAGATATATAAAAAGGTATATAAAGACTTACATTATAAGTATTTATATATCATCCTCGCCTTCGGAGCTGTCGCTAGAGTCATCTTGTAGAGGAATTACAACGGGATTTACAGGAGGCAAAACACAATATTCATTTTCTTTTTCAATAATTTGCTTAGAACACTGCTTCCATAGGTCTGTAGCAGCAATATGAGATACTGCATCTCTTATTGTGGCCAATAGCGATTCACTTAATTGAGGGGTCTGATTATGTTTTCTTACTTTTTTTTAAAGCAGCCTAGACCAACTCAATCGGGTTAAAAATGCAGTAATAGGGAGGTAGACGTAATACTTCATGGCCATTTTGCTGAAGCAGATTGTCAACAACATACTCTTTTTCAAATTTTTGTCTTTTAATAAGATCCAATAATATGGCTTTGGTTGATTTTTGTGGTATTTCCATTCCCTTATCCTTCATAAAATCAATAATGTCTTGTTTTTTTTGTGCCTGTATTCGGAATTTTGTTTTTCAGTCGGGAGTGGTATGGCGCATTGTCCATAATAATCACTGAATTTGGGGAAATGTTTGGTATTAACTGCTGCTCTATCCACTTTTCAAATAAGTCGGAGGTCATGTCCTCATGATAGTCGGCACATGATTCTTTGATATTTTTGGCAGATAACAGCAAGGCATTAGGTATAAATCTATTTTCACTGCCAGCATGGAGAATAATGATTCGTTTTCCACGGTTGCATGGTGCATTTAAAATGCACTTGTTGCTGTCGTCAACCCAGCCGTACTGCACAACATCATGGGTATCATACCACGTTTCATCCAGGTAAATCAGATTTCTTTTCTGCTCTCTATAGATTTTAACTTTGTGCATAAATTCTTGGCGCAATTCAACGATTCGAGACGACTCCATAATCACCATTCTTTTATCTAATTTTTTGTATTGAAAACCACACAGTTTTACAATACAGTGCAGTGAGTCTAAGCATTTGTAATTATAAAAATCTTCAGGATAATCTTTTAATTTATCCCGTATCATTTCCAACGTGGGCACCAAATTTTCTTTATAAAATCCGTATATTATACGACGAATATCTTCCTGAAAACCCACGTCTATTCTTTTTAATTTTTGCCCTATGCGCTTTCTGTGGAAGGAATGGTTGACTACATCTCCCCTTTTTATAACCCGATAAATGGTAGACCGACTGATTTTTGCCAGGATACAAATTCTGTTTAAAATTTGATTTTGCGAGGAATCTGGATTTTCGTTTTTCAGACAATCATACATATTTAGGATTACTCTTTGGGTCTGTTCCTCTAAATCTTTATGAAAGAATTCTGCCTGCACAGGTTCATCAACCATCTCCTCGTGGCTTGGAGCATTTTCCCAAGGTCTCCAAAGAGCCATATTTAGGACACACAAGAACAATCAACACAACAATTAAATCGACAAGTAAACAGAGTATTCAAAAGTCAAAAACACACAAACTAATAAAATCTATGAAAAAACACGGACAGACTAAAGAAAACACGTTTATTCACCGCTACACGGCACTGGCTAAACTGTTTCAATTTTCAGTAGCCACCTGCACTTGTTCGGAGCTCTGAAATACACGCTTTCTCATTGGCTATGTCCACGCATAGGCGTGCTTTACTCCACGTGGACCGGTGAAACTGCCTTTGATCTTATACGGGGGATATTTGCTGCGAAATTTGGCGATTTTTGCAGCAACAGAGCGTGTTAAATATAGGTATATAAAACGCACCCGGTATTTCACAGTGTTTCAAGTGACTTCAGATAAAGTATACAAGTGGCCTTAAAACTCAAGAAATATGCATCATACAAGGTATTCCACAGATCCTTCATTGCATATGCAATATGACTTTTTTTGGCAAATAAATAAGTACTATAGATGCTGCTTGATTGGTCCGGCTATATTTTATACGATTTCTGTGACGGATTTTGAGAACAAAATTAGAGTACTCATATCCCGTTTTTTTATTAGCAAGTGTACAGTTTCATCCACAGCCTCAAAACAAGACGTCCAGTTGCTTGGAAGTTGTTAAGCTTTAAATAAAACCATCCAACGTGTACTAAAGGTCATAGGAGTTTCCTTTATATTCAAAAACTGATCTGCAGGGGTATTACGTCACTTGAAAAGTGAGTTCTTACTTTAATAACCCTGCTGGTTCTCGTCAAACTTCCCAACTGCGACACGAACACTAATAAGACACGCTCCCGTATAGCTGTCTGCTAAATTGTCGGGAATTAGCTGGAGTGATAGGCTCAGGGGTAATTTAACCCCAAATTCCCGTTATTTATCAATGGAAGATAAATAAATATCGCGTTAGCTGATCCCGGCGTTAATGCAAACAGCTTCATCAGGAACGACGTCGCGCGCGATTGTGGAGGGGAGAACGGCTACGCTTCCATTACTTTGAAGTTTCTCTCTGACATGTAAAGAGGGAATTAAGGTGCGTTGTAGCTGCGGGGTTATTCGGATGATGTTGGATTGAGTATATGACAAGCAGGACGTATTTTCCTGGTATTTGCAAGCTAACAGGGTCACAGATACGTTTGCAGTTTTACTTGTTCGGAGTTGCGAGGCGAAAGTTGTGCCTATGAGCCATGATTTTGCATGTTGGTATATCATCATTAAAATCAAAGTCGCCTAGATCTCCACCTGCTATTCTGGTGAACTGTCTTGAAAGGAATTTCACTGTCACATCGTTATTCTCCAAGACACTAGCTTAATGTTTTCAATTTACCTCGTTCACTAAGTTGGCTAAAAACCTAAGTTGGCCTGATATGCGTTATGGGGCAAACTTGACTCGTACTGAGTTGGTCCGACATGCGTTACGGGTGAAATATACCTCGTAGTCAACAATAAAGTTGTTATTTTTTGTTGTTAAATAAAAGCTTTTTAAAGAAATAACCACACAGTAATAATTATAAAAGTTCCTTTAATCTAAAACAGAGCCAGGAAAAACCAAAGTTAAATAATAGTATCTTTGCGGTAGAAAAAAGTAAAATATGTATTTTTGCAATGATATTAAAAACACTTTCTTTATTATTAAACTATTAATTAATAATAATATTAAACAGTCAAATCCTAAGCTAAAATATAGAAACAGTCAAATTCTAGGCTGAAATATGGTGTCATTTATACTTTGAAGTTGAGTCATTAATTTTCAGATAATGATTGTAGAAGGAAGATAAACCAAAATAAGTGTGTAAAAATAAAAAAAAAAGTTTACCTTGTTTTATAAAGTATCCTCCCGACAAGTATTTCAGTGCGGACCTGTATTTGATCGTGAGGTCTTGGAGCACCGGCATGCCGTCCATATGTGAGGTCTTAAGTCAAATGATTCACGAACCCGTTGTACTACATTAACAAAGGCACGGGGGGTTGGTTGCACTCGATTGGGAAACCGATCCGCATAAACATGTGCCATTTTTTATTTCGTTTGAGCCACGCAACAGACACCACTATCCACTACCGACTGACACTGACTGTATACAACTGAATGAAATAATTGTAAAAACATCGTTCCAAATTCTTTCGCTTTTTTGTTTCCGATGCGATGAACCGATAAGGCGAATTATATCCGTTGTCGCCAAACACGAGCACATAATATTATTATTGAGACAGGGCGGTACTCAAACTTCCAAAGGTCTATAACTTTGTTACTTTAATTTTACCAGAAAAATGGTAAAGGAAAAAACATTTCTTTTGATCAGATCTACTCACTGTTAAAATAAATGACTCAACTTCGAAGATAAAAGAAAAGTAAAATATTGATTTTGCAATACAAAACGATTAATGGGCTTCATAAAAGCAAAATAAGCAGTAGGCCGGCTTCCCCGCGCACTCCTCGCAGTGAGCGAAGACTTTTTTTACCTTTTTGTCAGCTTCGCGACTATTCATTGTTCTTCTTAGTAATTTGTAGCATCCTACACATTTTCTCCTCATTTTGTTTTCGGTTTCCCCTACAGTAAGAGTATGGTATCTTTTAGGAGTTCTTGGCCGTTCTGGTTGCAATTCTTCTCTGCCACACTGATAGAAATATTTCGCTAGTTTTTCTCTAAATTAGAGGATTGTGAGCTTGCTAGGTGGAAGTTGATGATTAAACATAACCCAATTAAAAATTAATTCAACTGCAGTTTTTTTGTACCATTTTAAACTCTTTCGGAGGGGGCTCTGGTAAGTTGCCATCTGGTCACTGTAAGCGACACCTTTTTTGCGTTATTGTAATCGATTACACACTGTGTTTTTTTTTACAGTATGTCCTTTTCTTATTTTTCCTGTATTAACTAATGATGTATGGTGATTTTCACAGGTTGAGAGCATCAGAATCTGTCTTTTATTTACCCACTTCATAATTTTTACGCCCTCTGACTCTTTTCCAGCTATTTGATCTCTTTTAAACTTTTGAGAAATGATATTTTTAGGAACAGTTTTGCGATTCTTTCTCAAGGTACCACTTATTCTTGTTTTTTGGTCTTCAAATATTTAGCCAATTCATAAGAAGTATAAAAATTATCGCAATATAAAATGCGGCCGTATTCATAGTAGTTAGTCACTAAGTCATGAATCCACTATAAACGCTGCGTGGCTGACGGTCCGATCCGTATAAATTTTGAAATTAATCACATAACCATCAATATTGCAAAGTTTGTGCAGTTTTACACCATATTTGTGGGATTTATTTTTTATATATTGTTTCATTCTCCATGTGAGACAGAATATGAGGTTCCTGCATGATGGGGCTCCACCGCATGTTAGATGAGAAGTTCATGAACATCTGAATTAATGAGTTTCCGAATAGATGGATAGGGCGATTTCTCGGCCCGCTCGCTACCCGGATTTAACGCCTTGCGATTTTTTTCTGTGGGACTATTTGAAAGAGTTGGTGTATCATGATGGAGCAGTAAATATTCTGTAAGAACTTCAACAGCGCACTGAAAACGCTTGTGATTTAATTCGTGAACACCAGGATATTATTATCGAAGCTTGTAGGAATTAAGAGTTAATCGAACAAATTTGGTCAATTTTGAACAGTTTTTGTAAAAACGGTGTCCATTTACCTTGATAATTATTTTTTATTTAACTTCTATACAGGGTTATCCAAATTAAGTGTCCACCATTAGTAACTTTGTTATTAGTGAAAATACAAAGTTGTTTGAATTAGCAAACTAGTAGCATTTTTAACGCTGGTAAAAATGAGAAATAAAAAAAAACAATTGAGAGTCGTTATTTTGATTTTTTCCAGTAAAATAACATTTTTTTAAATGGAAACGCCTGTATATTATATTTTTTTCTGTTAAAGCATCAAATGTTAAACAAAAAAGCTTACAATAACTTTTCTCCTAGGTTACAAATTGTTGAAGTTATGGCCTCCAATCTGAAACATTTAAATTGTATCGACAAACTTTATTTTCAACATCAACTTATAATCTTACAAAATACAATAACAATTTTTTTTAAAGAAGATGCTCGAAAACACCACCTTGTTTTTCAATACATTTTTGGGCACGTTTTTCAACTGCTCGAACTGTCTTAAGTATGGTCCTACCATCTATCTGGGTTATCTTTTCCCTAACTGCAGTCTTTAACGCGTCAAGGTTATCGTACCTTCGCTTGTAAATTTGGTTGTTTAAGTAACCCCACAAGAAGTAATCAAGTGGGTTTAGATCTGGTGATCTGGGAGGCCACTGTATTGGGCCATTTGTTCCTATCCACTGATCATTAAAAGTAGTACTTAGAAAATGATAAGTACCTCTGGAGTTGTGGGCAGGTGCGCCATCTTGCTGAAAATGCAGATGATGTCTACTTATAAGATCCAATTCGTCTAAGAAATTAGTCAGAATTTCTGACATAAATTCCACATATCTTTCACCAGTTAGGGTTCCCTCATAAAAGAACGGGCCAACAATTTTTGAACCAATTATACCGCACCAAACGTTGAAACTGAAACGGACTTGTGGGCCTCTTGGATGTACTAACAAAAGATTTTCTCTTGACCAATAATGGTGGTTTTTTCTATTAAACATTCCAGAATTTGAAAAATTTTATTCATCTGTCCATAAAAGGTAATGAAAGTTATTTACATTTTGGCGACAGAAGCTAAGATACCAATGGCAAAAAACAAGTCTTCTCTCTGGATCCCCTGCCAAAAGCGTTTGAACTGGTCGGTCTTATACGGAATAAATTTGTATTTTTTTAAAATCCTTTGAACAGTACCATAACTGAAATTAGAGTCCTTGAGAATATCTGCTATTGAATTCTCACGATAAGCTTCAAAATATCCAATAACTGCAATTTCCGTGGCCTCGCTTATTATGAATTCTTTTTTTGCCCTTGTTTTAGCAAAAACATTTTCTTTGCCCCTAAATTTTCGATAAAGTCTCAGAAAATATCGTTCATACGGTTGAATGCGAGCGGGATATAATTCACTGTAGTATTCTCTTGCTCTCAAGGAGGATTTTCTGCACACTAAATAGCATTCTAACATATCACACTTTTCTTCATGGGAGAACATTTTTCTTTAAATTAATGACACAATAAAGCTTATAAACAAGTATTTACACTAATGTTTGACATTATTTGATTTTATCATTGTTTTCCAAAGCCTTCTAGTTGCGAGTATGTCCAGTTTAACAATTTGTCGCTTATCTTAATGCTGTCAAATCGCGAACGCCATGTTGTTTTCATAGCCGTCTTAATATTATAATACTGCAAATAATAAAAAATATTTATCGTTATTTTGACTTTATTTTTGACTTTAGCGGAAAAGTCATTATGAACTTTTTTGTTTAAAATTTGATGCTTTAACAGAAAAAAATATAATATACAGGGGTTTCCATTTAAAAAAATGTTATTTTACTGAAAAAAATCAAAATAACGACTCTCAATTGTTTTTTTTTATTTCTCATTTTTACCAGCGTTAAAAATGCTACTAGTTTGCTAATTCAAACAACTTTGTATTTTCACTAATAACAAAGTTACTAATGGTGGACACTTAATTTGGATAACCCTGTATAGGTGATTTTTGGTATATCAACTTCTTTTGGCGAGTCGTTAAAATAAAAGGCTCCAGTTTGAAAACGCGTGTCTCCTACAAAAATCTACATTCCAAGAAGTTGTTACCTATTGTGAGTTATAGTCCTGCGTAGCATCAGTTTTACAACCTGATGGTTGCATAGCTTGAGAGCTTGAAATTAAAAGTTAAAAGAACACTGCAATAGCTTATTTCTTGCGGCTGTCCCAAAGATAACTGTCTCCTAACTAGTTATTGGTCCGCAATGACTACCCTCAACTTGATGTTGCTTCCTGTCGTTAGAGCTGATTATGTACGAGTAATGTTGATCCAAACTCAACGTTGCTGCTGTTTTCGGATGCTGTTGCTGTTGTTGACTAGACTGACTTCCGCTAGCTTGTTGTTGTTGCTGGATCTGCTAGTTGTTGGCTACCATTGTGGTCTGTTGTTGCACTATGGTCGTATTCTGTTGCACAAACGTGGTGTTTTGCTGATTTGAAGATGATTCGGCGATATTTGCAGGTCCCAAGGAACATGGAACCATCAAAGTTTGACCCATTTGACCATTCATTTGAATGTAGTCCTGCTGGTGGTTATTATTGGGCCTGATAGCTATGTGAGAAACAGCTCCAACCTTAGTTGGGCACTTCGACAAGTTAGTGCGAAGTGTTCTTTTTAAACTTTATTCTCTAGCTTTCGATTAACTATGTCATCTTCATCAGGAGAAAAGTAAGCGAGATTGTTGCTAAATATTATTAAATAAGTTAACGAGAACACTTAGTAGCCTTATGTCATCAGCATAAAGAACGAGCTTACTGTTCATACTATAAAAAAGACAATTTGGTAGGGCGTTTATACACAACTTACGAAAAAATGTAATCAAAGTCCTAGAGAAAGTAAATTATAAACCTGAGTTTCAATAATAAATTGAAAAATAAATATCTGTATTTTGCGTTCATCGTCGTGATATTACAACACGCATTAATAATTTATTGTAGCAAATATTGTACTAAAGAACTGATGAAAACAAAACATCAGGAATTTAGTTGTTTTTTCATACTGATGAGAACGTGTAAATAAGGTTTAATCTGAATCGTGTGTGATCTGAATGAAGAACGGTCGATACATGTGTACACGAGAGAGGGCAAAATTCGCGAGCGGCTTCTCGCTTGTTTGCACACCGATTTCCGAATAGGCACGTGGAGTGGATGGGGGTCGGGTTCGCCCACGACGCGTTGTGGGGGAGGTGAATTTGAATTAGTGCGTCGAAATTGGATTAGACGCGCCCAAGAGGTTGCATTGCAGTCAATGGAAACAATTTTGAACAGCTTTTATAAGTAACTGAACTGTATTATTTTATTATCTCGATTTCTCTGGACTTTTATTACATTTTTTTTGTGTAATCAACTTCTTTCATTACAGTGCATATGTGGTTGAAATTTGTCGGATAAGTTGTGAAACACCCTGTAAAGAGCAAGAACACCAAAGGGCCAAGGATATATCCTTGTGGCATGTCTTGCAAAGCTCTTCTGACTGTAGATGTATAGCATTTATTAACGAAATTTTCTGTAACCTCTATACAGATTAATCGTAGTGTATTTCAGTATGAAAGCATATTTTTGATTTAGATAATATACGAGTACCGAGTGCGCCATATTTTATGCCTTTTATGTCGGTTTTGAAACATCGAATGACTTAGATATCTACCAACCTAGTGATTTGGTTATACGTGTTTCTGAAACGTCAATTTACTACAATTTCAGTCATGAATCGCTTTACGCCGAAACAACGCGCCGAAATAGTCACAATGTACATTGAAAATCGTCGTTCAGTTGTGCTAGCGCAACGTGCATATCGTCGACAATATCGTGGCAAACAGGCACCGTCTGACAACACTATCCGTCGTTTGGTTTCAAATTTTCTTGAGTACGGGACAGTGGGAGATCGTCAACATACCGTTCATCAACGACCAAGATGTTCCAATGAATTGGTTGAAGCGGTCAGAGACAGCGTTGCCCAGAACCCAAAAGTGTCGTATCGTCACCGCGCTCAGCATTTTGGCATCAGTGGAACCACGTTGCGGCGCATTTTGAAGGATGATTCGCATTTGTTTCCTCATAAGGTGCAGTTAACACAAAAAATATTGCCAACTGACCGTACACGTCGGTTGATGCTGGACCTGATTTTTTTAAGCAAATTGTGATGACCGACGAGGCCCATTTCACGCTCTCACGATCTCACATGAGATCCACGAAATGCCGTTGCATGATCGGAAAGTGACTGTTGGGACCGGCGTTTGCGCCAAAACCATCATTGGGCCATTTTTCTTCAACAAAAACGGAACAGTCCTTGGAAACCGATATCGGTGGATGTCTGCCCACAAATGCGTGAACAAGGTCTTGATGGTTATTGGTTTCAACAAGACGGTGCACCATGCCCCACTGCAAATAAAACAATTCAGTTTCTGCAAAGAAATTCCCTGGACGTCTGGTGTCAAAAACAGGTGACATTGACTAGCCACCCAGGTCTCCAGATTTGACCCCACCAGACTTCTTGTGCGGTTATTTGAAAATTCAAGCGTACGCCAGCAAGCCCCAGACCACTGAACATGCATACCCCAATCGTCGCTATACGACCAGAGATGCTCGAAAAAGTAATGGATAACGCGGCAAAACGAGCACATTTTGTTTTGGTCACTTGATAGATGTTGTGCTCAGAAACTAGTCCCAATAAATTGTAAAGGACCATATTTAATAAAAGTACCCGATATATAGAAATCAGTTTTTCGTTTTGAAAGTTATTTCATGTTTACATACCGACATAAAAGATGGCGCACCCTAGATCATCAACGCTTGATTTGTTCCTTTTGTACATTAAACATTTTCGTGCTCGTATCATCGCATACGTCATCATAAACTTGCACTGCATGAGCATGAGAAATGTGCTTCAGCTGTTGCATTTAACGTTGAAATATCTAACTTTCCTGCTGAATCTGCTACATTTTCGATAGCGGCAAAACAGGTATACAGGCTGCCCACTTTCCAGGGCTCGCTGCTTTTAATTTATATTTCGAACGGCAAGCGCGTTTATTTACTTTAAAAATGGTTTTGTTTGCTAGCCTCTGTTGACCTGTGTGTTTTTTTAACGAGAATACATTTCAAAGTCAGAGGCTGTGCGGATGGAGTACAAAATTAAATATGTGTATATATAATGGCAGACTTTATGTTGATGCATGTGAGTGTTACTTCAGCCAGAAGAGAATATTGTTCGAAAAGTCACCATGAACGCTAATAGGATCTATAGCAATGTCAGGATAGCCCCGAACCCAACGAAGAAGTCGGAGAACTATGAGGAGGTCAAGCATGAGCTGACGGAGCGGCATACTAGTAATAGTGGAGTAAAATTTTATAATGATATAGAGTGTACGAGGGCAGTCCGGTAAGTACTTAAAGTGTATCTAACGAAGCTACAAAGTAATCGTAAACAGTGGTTGATTCGTGATCAACGCGTGATCGGTAGCCATGGCGTTCTGTCGGCCTCTTCCTGATTGGCTTGTAGCGACGAGCCTCCAGACAAAGTCGCACGGTTGCCACGCTCGGCGAGTTTTCGCCAGAGTGGTTGATCACATTCGCATGGATCACAAATCAATCTGTTGGTGCAATACGTGCAATAACTGTTGTAAAGGACATTATATAACAATAAATGGCATCACAAAGGTATATTCCAATTTGATCTGCAGCAAATTATGAACGGCATATACGGAGATGCGAAAACAAGCTCAAAAAGGTGAAGAAAATTTTTGTGCAATCTTTATAGTTAAATTTTTTCTAAGAGATAGCATCAGTGAGGGAATTTTTTTCTATTGTCTTATTTTTCACATTAATGCAATGTCGAGGTATGTGGCCCTATCGCAATTGAAAATAAGGTTTCGATAATCCTTCCATAAAGTTTCGATGAGTACATCTGAAATAACCTTGAGATATTCTTCAGGGAACTACAAAAATCTCCTTTTGTGTTTTTTTGTGCAGATTTATCTATTAAAATCCTATCCGCAATCTATTTTCCGTGCACACACCTTCAACCGAATGTATGCCATATATGATATTACCGTTTCCAACTTTCACCAAGGTTAATAGGAACCATAACAGCTCCCTACCCTTCCCCCCTATAAGAATATTGATTTGTAGCCTCACATTTCAAGGTTAGACTTCTTGTAATGTTTCTGTTCAACATTCGGCGATTTCTGACAATTTTCCCAATAAAACATGATCATTGTGACATTAAGCCTGGCAACGCTGCATAGTAGAGGGAACTCTCAGCGTCACGTTGATGGTTCGTCACCACGCACAGGATTGTAATCAGTTACGGATACCCGTTTATGAGCGCGAACGTTTTATGCACGTCTTGACTTGATTTTTCTTGCGGAAATTTAATATTAGTCTAAAATGTCTGACACAGATACAGCTGATGAAGTGGTTGAAATCAGCTTAACGTCACCCAGAAAAAGGGCTAAAAAGCTTCATCTTAGCGCAGGTGAAAAACAAATTATTCTAAATATCTACAAGAACCAGATGCAAGAGAATAGTGGATTGGCTATAGAAAATATCGTATGTAAGGTTGCTGAAATTTCTGGAGTAGGTCGATCAAGTGTTTACAAAATCTTGAAGGAATATAGACAAAATCACTCACTATCTGAGCCAAAAACATATCCAGCGAGAAAAAAAATCATCGAAAAAATAGATGACTTTGACAAAAGTGCCATTAGAAGAAAAGTACATCACTTTTTCTTCAGGAATGAAATACCTACAATAGATAAAATATTGAAGCAAGAGAATGATGATGAGGACCTGCCAAATTTTAAAAGATCTACGTTCCATAAGCTGTTGAAAGAACTAGACTTTCGATTTTTGAAAAGAGGAAGGAATAGTTTATTGATAGAAAAGGAGGAAATTGTTATCTGGAGGAGAGAATACCTTAGAAAAATTAGGCAATTCCGCGCTGAAGGAAGAAAAATTTATTATTTAGACGAAACATGGGTGAACGCGGGGCATACGCAGGGAAAGGTTTGGGTAGACAGATCTGTGAGGTCCTCAAGGCAGGCTTTTTTAGATGGCCTTTCGACGGGATTGAAAAATCCTGCAGGTAAGTTTCGAAGTATATGAACTTTTTTGGATGCAGATAATTCATTTTCTGATCGAATCAATGATTTTTAAGCTCCGAACTCAGTTTTGCTATCTCATCCAAGTTTCTGAGTATTTCCTTCACCCAAAAACTAATCTAAGACCCTATCCTACACTAACCTAAAAAGAGTAAGTTGCTTAATTTCGTCATTTAGTGCGCTCGCTGAGAAGTAAAATAACTAATTACTTTCAGGCAAGGGAAAACGCCTGATCATTTGCCACATAGGTAGCGTAG